CTTTCTATTAAGACAAGTTCTACATAGGCCGAGTTTAAGGCAAAGAATGGAGTTGAGTATAGAAATCAAAGCCAATAAATGGGAATATATTTTTCTTTCAAAATATTTTATGTACCAAAGTTTGCACAATATCTTGGCTATGACAGAAAGCCTGTGTAAGGAGGTGTTTTGTGTTTCACAGCTAACATAAGGACAAAAACACGGTGGCAGCTGACAAATATTACTTAATCGTGAATTGAAAGACTGTGTATAGTGGTGTTCATGGTAAGACTCATGGGGTAGAAACTATCAAGTTTTAAAATATTCCAAAAATTTCTAAAGGGAGACATTGTGACATTTTTTTGGCAAGTAGATTTTTTTTTTTTTTTTTTTTTAATCTTGGAAAGGGATGGTCCCAGAATTCTCTGGCATTTATTTTGGTGAAGTTCACCAATTCTTCTAACGTTGAGCATTCTGCCCAACTCTTCTCTCTCTCTTTATTTTTTCCCTTTCTAAACACTTTTTCAATCCCCAGGAAATAGAAAGTTGCCTAGCATATCCCTAAAACTCACTGACATGAGAGTTAATTCTACCTCATAGCACTTTATGTAGGGTTTCCAAGACTGTAAACCTTTACAGGAGCAGATTGCCTCACGTTTCTCCTGTGGAATGACTGGTGTGTTTGAACCACCAACTTTGAGGTCAGAAGCACAATACCTAACCCACAACACCACCAGGACTCCTTGCCTAGTACATATTCTTCTTGTTGTTAAGTGCCATTGAGTTGGTTCAGACTCATAGAAGCCCTGTATAGGGTTTGCAAGGAGCACCTGGTAGGTTTGAACTAGTTATCTTGAGGTTCGCAGTCTAATGCTTATTCTACAGTGCCACGTCAGGACTCTCAAAGAGAGGGAGAGGGATTGTGTGCTGATGACCCAGGGGCAGGCTTGTGGGGTGTATATACCCTTTGGATTTTTGATGAGGCATGGAGAGGACTGTAACCATGGCAATGAAATGAAGTACAATAGGATAAATGTAAAACTAATGTTCTCCCATGTAAACTATCACATAATTCACAATAAAAACTTAAAAAGTAAAATAAAATAAGGTGCAGCTGCTACATGCTGTCCAGTCAGTTTTGACTAATAGAGACTCTTAGGGTTTCCAATGCTGTAAATCTTTATGGGAGCAGAAAGCTTCATCTTTCTCCCAAGGAGTGGCTGGTGAATTTGAACTGCTGACCTTGCTGTTAGCAGCCCAATGCATAACCCACTTCACTACCAGGGCTACTTAAAATAAGGGGCTTTTTTTGTTGTTAAGTGCTGTTGAGTCAGTTCTGACACATATAGGACTTCCAAGGAGCAGCTGGTGTATTTGAACTACCAAACTTGTGGTTAGCAATCCACTGCTTATCCTATAGGATCACACCAGGACTCCAAACTAAGGGGTAATACTTAGTAAATGTCAATTAGTCGCTCTACTCATGAAGAAGGTCCTTGGGTGGCACAGTTTCTGGTCATCTACTAACCAAAAGGTTGTTGGTTAAAACCCACTGAACAGCACTGCAAAAGAAAGTCCAGGTTAGCTGCTTCTGTGAAGTTTATAGCCAAGAAAACCCTCATGGATCAGTTTTACTCTCTAACACATGGGGTCTTCATGAGTCAGAATCAACTAGACAACAAAGGATTACTCATAAATAATTCCATGTTTAAAAACAGCACAGGGAAGAATAAAGCAACAAAGCCCTGAGCTGAACCCCTAGTTTTATCAAAGACTCACACTCCAAAAGGCAATTCATTTGAAAATGGCACTTCATGCACCTTCTGGCCCATCCATACATGAGGATGAAAGTAATTCCCTGAATCTATAGGCAGCTAATTGAGACTTTTACACTTCTGATAGCATTGACACAGAACAGCTTTCTGCAATCTACAAGGCCTGTTTACTTTGTTTCATGATAAATAGACAGCAAACTAAATTATTGTGTTGAAATAACTTTTAACAACTATGAGCTGCTATAAATTTTCATATGCTTGCTATGTCCTAAGCACTGGATTATTTCCTCTAGTTCTTCCAGGAACCCTATGAAGTCAATACCATTATAATTCCTATTTGACAGATAAGGAAGTTGAAGTTTATGAAGTAAATTACCTTCTTTCAGATCACACAGCTAGTAAGTGCCGAAAGTGGGGTATCAACCTGTCTCCAGGGTTCATGCTCTTGTCCACTGTATGGCCATGCAAAGAAGACTTAAAAGAAAAGTGCATTGTAATTATTTTTTTCACCTCTGTTTGTCAGACTTAAAAAGAAAAAAATGCTAAAGTCCTTTATTCAGAAAGTCTTACACAAAATGCCAAAATCTATCATAGAAAATAACAGGAACATTTCTATTCTATTTCAAGTGGCTAGTGGAAGACCACAGTGCCTCTCACCATGAAGTCCTCCAGCATCATTTCTAACTGTCATGACAGTTTTCTGACTTTTCTTTGTGCCAGTCCCAGATTCTGCTTCCCTTCCATAGTCGGGGGACTCAAAGGCTCAACCTTTAATCTTCCATTTATTTCCTTCTCTACTTATCCTCCCAGAGTGCTGAACTTACAGACCTTCCTCTATTAACATTCTGTTGTTAATGACGATCAAATTCTTGTCTCCAGGTTCAGATTCCTAGTGGCTTATCTGACATGTCAGATGAAATCTTTCCGGGAGTTGATTTAAATAGAGAGAATTCAGTAGGCATGGGGATGCAGATGAGTTAGAGGGTGGTTCCTTTACCCTGCTTAAAGTATGTACTTCAAAGAAAGCTTTTTAAATGTTTTAATTGTGTTAAATTAACTGCTGAGGAGTACTCCTTGCCCAGTCCTCACACTTGCTGAATGGACATATGGATTGGCTCAGGTTTAAAGTAAGAAAATATTTCTTCGTAAGGCTTCCTGCTTTGGCTGAGAAGTAGTAGAATGTTGTGACTGAGAACCAGGGTTTCTGAGGACAGACAGCTAAGTGACTCTCTGAGCTCAAGTTTCTTGTCTGATAATACCAGTTCTTCCCCCACCAGTTGTTTTGTTGGGAGTATTAAATGTGGCAAATCATGTAAAGTACTAAGCATAGTGACTGAATTATAATAAATTCTCAGTAGATGTCCATTTTTAGGATTATTTCATTTGCATCACTCTCCTTTCTAGCTGGTAAACTCTCTAGCCTAAGGGGCTACTAAAGACCAAGATTCTACCACCCCAGGTTTGGACTGGCTGTTTGTTTTGTTTTTTACAACTCTACAACAGATAACTAAAGAAAGAAAGGGAAGGGAATAAAACTCAAGACATTTTCCATATATGGAGTGGTGTATACCAGCACTGGACTGTTAACTGCAAGGTCAACAGTTCAAACCCACCAGTTGGTCCTTGGAAACCCCATACATTGTCACTATGAGTCAGAACTGACTCGATGGCACTTATAAACATCAATGTTGTTGCTGTTGTTACGTGCCATGGAGTTGGTTCTGGCTCATAGCAACCCTGTACAGGGTTTCCGAGGCTGTCAATCTTTACGGGAGCAGAAAGCCTCATCTTTCTCCAGCGGAGCAGCTGGTAGTTCTGAACTGCTGACCCTGAGGTTCGCAGCCCGATTCGTAACCACTACGCAACAACAATACTACTGCTTAAAAGAAGCCCTATGTCACAGTGGGTTAAGCATAGGGCTGCTAAATGAAAAGATCAACAGTTCAAACCCACCAGCCAATCTAAAGAAAAGAGATGAGGTAGTTTGTTTCCGTAAAGATTTCCAACCCCAGAAACCTGAACTTGGCAGGTCTACTCTAGGGTTCCAGAGGGTTGCTCTGAGTTGGAATACACAGAACTGCAACAGGTATACTGCTCAGTCTTCATAGGAGGAGCTTTACCATTCTATTTCTTGTAAATTCACACAGTCCACTGGGGAATGAGAGGTGGATTGTATTGCTCCCAAGTCTCCAGTGTTTCTTAAGGTGCAAATGAGCAACAGAATCCCACCTCACAGCTTCAGAATCTCTGGGGCATGGCAAGGCATCTACATTATACCTGCTGCCCAAATAACTGTCATAGAATGTGAGGATCCTTCATTTAGTTCTTATTTCACATCATCTAAAATTCAACTCAATGTTTTATTCTATGTTTTCATTTAAGCATTTTCTCCCTTAATTATATGATAAATTCTCCAGAGTGAGGAATATGTTTGCTAATCTTCTTGTAACCCCCAAAGCGACTAGCTAAATCCTAGATACAGCTCTGGGAAAGAATGAAAGTTATTGACTGGGTTAAGCTTTCTGCCCTATAGGATTTTGATCTACCCATGCCTAAATGTTGCTTAAGACTTGGGGTTAGAAGGAGAATTCATCAATACCTAATTATTATTTAACATACAATATAAGTTTTAGCCAGCACTTTTTCATTGTCTATTGATAGGTTGTTTGTTTCCTGGTTAATAAACTGAGATGCCTGACTTACTGAATGAAAAACAAAATGAACAAGTCAGGAACAGTGAAGTTTCTTTCAAGTTTCAGAGTGTTTGTAAAAGAGAAATTCACAGGCTTTCCAGCCTCCCAATCACAGAAAGCGGAGCAAGGACCTTTCTGTCCAAAATGGCTATTCAACTTTTAACTGTATGAACTGAAACAGAATTTTTATTTTAGGCTCAAAAATGATTGATTAATCATCCATAATGTGTTTGTTTCTGGTAAATGAGAGATTTGCTGTATGTTCTTATGGTAGTTTGTTTGTTTGTTCCTGAAGTCCCATAATCTCATTCTGGAATGTGGAGGTTCCATCATCAGTATTTTATGGGAGCTTTTCCAATGCCCTAATGTCATTAGCATGGCTGCTTTAGATGCTGTGATTTGCAATTATTTCTTCTACACTTAAAAAACAATTCCCTGAGTTCCGCCTTGTTAACTATGTTTGATCTGTAGTAAAGATGACAAATTTAGGGGTTTTTTTCTGCATTTTTTCTTTTAATTCATAGTAGCGTTTCTCCCCCTTTCTCTTCTTTAGGATCAGCACTCTGTGGTAGGCCAAAACCCAGGCCCCAGTCCAAGTCCCAACGCCTGCTCAAATCCCAACACTGGCAGTGGGTACATGAACTCCCAGCAATCACTGCTGAATCAGCAATTGATGGGAAAGAAGCAGACTCTGCAAAGGCAGATCATGGAGCAGAAACAGCACCTTCTTCTTCAGCAGCAGATGCTCGTTGATTCGGTAAAGCTTTCTACTGATCTCCACTGTACCTATCTGTTGGCCTAACATAGGGACTTCGTTCTTTTCCATTTCTATTTACTTGTGGCAGTAATAAAAGTGTCTCTGTAATAAGAGAAGCTTACATACCATACATGGGAAGTGTTGCAGGAGGAGGAAAAAAAGAAAGAAAACTTCATTTACCAGGTGCTGGCTGGTTGGAATGTGTAGCACCTCAGTTAACTAGCCCTGCCCAGCCCAAGAATGTCTAGAACTACTAACACCATGAACATATGACACTGGGAGAAGAAATCAGTTTTGGTCCCTAGCCCTGAGGGGCAGACATAATGGACAAGATTTTAATCTACTCAAATCCATACTGATTCTAGAGAAACAAGAGCTTTAAAGGTAGTTTTCAAATCCAATGTAGAGTTTCAAAATACGATTTTAAGACTTCTAAGATTTGACCTTCAAAATAAAGTATCTCACAATGGAGGATTTTTTTTTAAAGAAATTTGAAAATATATTTTCCACTTTTACATTTTAGCAGCCTTGAAGAAAGCAAAGTAATATTCCCACACACTGCCCCAACATTAACCTCGCTTCAGTATTTACCTGCTCATCCCTTTGTTGGCTCAGACATACTCAAACACTATACAAAATGCTACCTCCTCAGAGACCACAGCCCCATTTCCAATAGCTTCATTCTTTCCCTTTGAACTATCTGTTGTTGTTGTTGTTGTTAAGTGCTATTGAGTTGGTACCAACTCATAGACCCTGTGTTAGGGTTTCCAATGAGCATCTGGTGAGCTTGAACCACCAACCTTGTGGTATAGTTCAAAACAACTTTGAAGTCCAGCGCATTAACCCACAGCACCACACCAAGACTCCTTGAACTATTTAGCCTAAGGAAAAAAGGAATGGGCAGAGTTAACCATCGGTAGGTAAATAAAGCCAAGTTATACAGAAGAGAGGGAAACAAACAAATTCAGATAATTTTATACTTAAGAAGTGTTATAATAAAAGAATCAGACATACAAGATGTGATAAGTGCTATAATTCACTTAATAAATATATATTAATTTATAATGGGGATGCATCCATGAACAAGAACGACCCAATCTTTGCTCTTAAGAAATTTAAGAGTCCACCAAGGACGTTAAGTGAATGTTCTTGTTAGTTGCATTGAGCAGGTCCCAGCTCAAGTGTGCAGATTAGAAATGTTCACAGGTTTTTCAAGGCTGTGATCTTTCAGAAGCAAATCACCCAGTCGGAGGTTTAAGGAGCCTCTGAGTGGAACCAAAATGGTTTCAGAGGTGAAGTTATATCTATAGAAGATCTGAAGCTAAGAAGGTAATCAGGGAAAAGATAGGGGATTGTTCAGCCAGTAGAACCAGCTACTCAGAAACAATAGAGGACAGTACTTTTGACAAGGCATACTGTAGGCCAAAGAATGAGGAAGGGATGGGCATGAAGTCCAGAGATGAGAGGCCAGAGGTCAGGGCTTGATAAGCCAGAGTTTGATTGTCTGAAAAACAATGGGGAGAATGCTAAACATTTGAAACAATGCATCATATTTGCATTATAATGAAGGCATAAACAAGGTAAGGGGAAATATAGTAGAGAGGAAGATTAAATCGAGAGATTGAGGATAGTCTCCCAAGAGAAGAAAAATTTGACTATGAAGGGCTGTGGGTTTCTGATGGGTAGAGCAGGTGAGTCTACCATTCCAAGTGAAGAATGGGCCAGAAGCAAAAAGGGGTGGTCTGGATGTATGTCTTGGCTAGTGTGAGACTGTATTATAAAATACTTAATTTAGAAAGTAGAAGTAATAAATAGCAATGACATTTTTAAAAAGGAATAATAAATGAAATAAGTTTGGAATCCAGAATATGGAGAAGAAATTTGTTGTTGTTGTTGAGTGCCATCAAGTTTGTTCCAACCAATAGTGACACTGTATAGGGTTTCCAGAGAGTGGCTGATGAGCTTGAACCACCGACCTTGCAGTTCAAACCGACTTTGTAGTCCAGCGCATTAACCCACAGCAGAACCACACCAGGATTCCGTGAGAAGGAATAGTGGAAGTAAATTTATTTGATCTTTAATAAACAGTGAGAAATCAGTTTATGGATGACTTTGAGTATACCCCAAAGTGCAAGATGTCGCACTTTTTTTTTCTATTGCCATGCAACTGGTGTTTTCTACAATTCATAGTTTAAAAAACTCGAGAGTCCTCCTGTCTAACCCACCCTGGGTTTTTGTTTTGTGTTTTTTTTTTTTTTTGAGACTTTTATAAACCAAGTAACAATCTTACTAATTTGATAACACACAGAGGTTGAGTTTCTGTATTTTCAGCTCTGATATGAGAAGGCAAGAAATGGTAGCAGACACATTCTGTGAGGGTCCTGGCCTGGCGCTGGCCTGACTCCCAGCGAGCCCCAGTGAGTCACCGCTGAGACAGGTGCAAGGACAGTAGCATAGGCTGTAGAGATGAATACGAATGAGGCTGCCGTTTTTGGTGATTTTTGAAAACCATTCACATTTCTCTTTGTTTGGACACCATTGAGGATGCCTGTACTTTTTTGCATATCCAGGAAGAAACAGTCTTTAATACCCTTTTACATTAGCATAGGCTTTGTAGTCATTTGCAGTCAGTTGGCAAGGCCAGATAGAAGCCAAAATGGAGACATTTTCTCATGCAAGTGTTATCCTTACTCTCTATTATACTCCCACCGATGAAAAGCACAGGGAAGAGATGAGTAGTACCTATTACAATGGACATTGGAATTACCAGTGCATACTGAGTCCTGGTGTGGTGCTGTTGGTTAATGCGTTGTACTGCAAAGTCAGTTTGAACTGCAAGGTTTGCAGTTCAAGCTCACCAGCTGCTCCTCAGAAACCCTATACAGAGTCGCTATGGGTTGGAACCAACTCAATGGCACTTAACAACAACTGTGTACCTACTGTGTACTAGATACCATGTTGACTTTTTATAGTGGTCATCCTACAGTACTACACCAGAACTCCAGGCTTTGTAATAGGTTGTTGTTAAATGCATTCAAGACGGTTCTGATGGTTTTGGACAAGAGAAGATTTTAGAAAGCCTTATACTTGGCATGAAAATTACAGTTGTCAGGCCTGCACAATAGTTTATAACAAGAATGATTGACCATCACCACATTTGGCTTCGTGGAACATTTCTTTTGTTCCTTTTCTTAAACATTTAGAGCTTGGGTAAAACCAAAAAAGAGTTTTGCCAACCACTTTTTCCCTTAATTTGTACACCCATGTTTAAAAGAAATGTAATCCATATGTTTCTGACTCATTTACACTTACCTCATCAAAATTATGTTTTATATGAATTATTTGATATCCAAAACACTGTATTTCAAGGTGTTATGTGTTTTATTTTCTTAGTAACAAAATCTTCAGTGTAGTTTGTTGTTGTTTTAAGGTCTATCTTACCTTTTTAGTAAACTAATTCTACAAAGAAGGTTTGGAATTTGGTGGGAAAGTTAGAAATACATGGTTTAAATGGTATCTACGTTAGGTAGGAGTCCTGGTGTGGCGCTATGGGTTAAAGCGTTGGACCGCAAAGTTGGTTTGAACTGCACGGTCACTGGTTCAAGCTCACCAGCTGCTCTTTGGGTCACTATGAGTCAGAACTGACTCAGTGGCACTTAACAACAATAACAAATTAGGCAGCCCACATTTGGCTTCCAAATCTGTACTCATCTACCTATTACAAAGTTTTGTTTTCTATTCATTGAGCTCTCCAGAATTATATTGTTCTCTGCTCACCAGTACCAATAATTTTAATCTTTGAAAATCGAAGTTGCTTTAGGGTGCACACAATGTTGCACTGGAGTAATTAAAGAAACTGCCTGATCCATCCTGAGAAATGAAGTCAAAGCAGCCTCTGATGTCCAGAACTGATCTTACACTCACAGCCAGCCCATTCTGTTCTCTGCTGGACACAAACAATCTTACAAAATACCAATCTCAGGCAGGCTTCCTCTGAGACCAGGCTAAAATGAGATAATGAGAAATGGTAGCAGACACAGTCCATGAGGGTCTTTCATAAAATAAGGCCACTTCATAATTTTGTCTAAGAACAGACACAAACAAGCTTACTGTACAACCCACAAAATAAGTACCAAACATGCCCCCTCTTGCTAAATGAGTGACTGCTACTGCATTACCCAATCATAATCTTGACCTCACTTTCTGACAGCTTCCAAACTAGAAACCTCTCAGAATCATCCAATCAAAGTCCAAATCCTATAATCGGTTCTTCCTTAGACCGGCCTAATGAGACACCATGGTCTACATTCCATTACTGCAATGGCTAATAACCTCAACAAGGGTGTTCTTATTGGTCTTTAGCTTATGACAGTCACAATATTTTTTAAAAGACCCCCCACTTCCTCTCTTAGTTCATAAACTTACCCATTCTGAAGATCTAAAGGTGCTTACTCAAAAAATGAAAAAATAAAAGAGAAACCTGGGAAAATTGTTATGCTTTTAGATTGGGACATTGAGAAGTGGAGTAGCAAGGGACCCTTGTATTATGTGGCAGGTTAAAACCTGACATTGTAACTCAGACAGATCTGAGATTTGGTACCTGTTCTACCACAGTGTGATCCTGAGCAAGTTATTGAACTCAACTAAGCTTCCATTTCCTCATCTGTTAATTGTGAGCAGTAATATCTACTTTTGAGGTGGGGAGGGGGAATGAGGTATAAAAAAGCCTATAGTTTCCAGGTCAGTGCCTAATAAGCTAGCTCCTAATTTCTCTTCCCATGTAGAATTGGCCAGAATAACAAATAAAATACAGGATTCCCAGGTGTCCTGCATTTTATCTGATAATTCTACTCCTATGCCTTGCACATTCCTTGGAACCATAGTTATGTATAAGTACCAAAGTCCTGGGTGGCACAAACAGTTAAGTGCTTGGCTGCTAAGAGGATGGCAGTTCAAGTCCAACCTGAGGGACCTCAAAAGAAAAATCTAGTGATCTACTTCTGAGAAATTAGTCATTAAAAACCTTCTGGATATAAGACTAAGAAAAAGAAATTATACTAAAGGGGGGTAGGGGGAAGTCTTTGTTGGTGGGAAGTTGGTGATGGGTGGGGGGGAAGGGGGGAGGGCGGAGCGCAAGGCTGGGATTGGACACAGGAGAGCTTGGGTGCTGGGGAGGGGGGCAATGTACAGGGAGGGAGAGGGAAGTGGACAAACAGGGCAGATGGGAGACAATTGGGCATGTTCAAAAGGGCTAAATGGGACAGAGATAAAGGACGATATATGCACAGCCTTGGAACTGCAGGGCTCTGAGATACAGGGATTGAGTCATGGTTGGAATGGGGAGGGGGGGAATCATGTTAAGATGCTTGACTGTTTTTTTTGTTGGTTGGTTGGTTGGTTTGTGTTTTTAATCTTGTTTTCCCTTGCATTATAATATAGAGTAGACACTGGAGAGGGAGAGAAAGGAATAGTCAGAAACTCCACACTAGAAGGCTTGTACGTCCGTCTTCTGCCTATGACTGATTGGAATACCTAAAATGGGGCTACAGC